AAAGGGGTGAGGAAGGGGATAGAGTCAGTATGAACCTGTCGAGGTTGACAGAGGCCAGATTTTTTAGGCTCTTGTGGTCAGGAGCTTGAGATCTGTCCTTTGACCAGCCAGAAGCCTTTGAAAGATCTTCAGTAAAGGGACTAGCAGATGGCCTAATGGTTGTTGCTGGACTCTCACGTAGTCTACTGCCTTCAAGTCCTAGACCCGGCAGCCTAAAACTCAAGCTGGGCACATGTGCGTGGGTGTCCCAAATCCCCAAAGGAGAATGGAGGAGAAGGGATTGTGGCATGGCCATCCCCCTTGGGGGTGATTTCTCGCTTTCTGTCTCTCTGTCTCTCCAGCAAGCGCATGTACCCTATAGCAAAAATCTCTCTTAAACTAAAAAAAAAAAGAAAGCTCTTCCGTAGGAGCATGGTATGATCTGATTTTTGCTTTGTAAAGGTTGCTCTGACTGCTGTATGGAGCCTGGAGTATGGGGTAGCGATAGTGGAAGCTGGGAGATAGCAAGAGATGAGACTGGCTTGGACCAGTGGGGTGACAGTGAGATGGGAAAAGCTGGTATATTATGGGGGGAGAATCCACTGGAGTTGCCAACGCTTGACTTAGGGTAGAGGACAGGAAGAGAGGTCAGGGCGTCTGCACCATTGAGAGGACTCCAGGATACCCACTCTTGGAAGGAGAGCTTCCTGTCTGTGTCCCCAAGCTGGGGGTGACGTCACAGGTGCACATGAACTGTTGCAAATGGCAGTAAAAGGAGACTGTCTCTTTCCAAGAGTCTCCGTTATCAAGAGAATTTCAGGAGTACTTTCTGTCACCAAAAGCAAGAGCCCGTGACACTGAGGTTTTCTCTCAGAGCAGGCTTTGCTTTGGGAGTGGAGAAGCTAGTGGGAAGGGAAAGCCAGAGGCCAAGATCAAGTCCCAGCACCTCCTCACACCACCTCCACGCCCCCCTGGGTGCAGCCCTGAATTTCATCTTTGGTGAAAGAGTCCTCTCTTGTCCCTTTTCTGGGTTGGGGTGATTTATGGGACAAACGGTGTCTTACAGTGGGGCCAGGCCTCATTTGGGGGTTCCTTTGCCACTGTGACAGTGTGTGCTCACATGAAGGGGGGAATAGGATTGGTTCAAAGGAAAGGCGCTTCACTCACTAAAAGTGGCTTCCCTCTGAAGCCTAGTTATTACTCCAATTAAGCCACCACAAAATGTGCTCCCTTAATAACAGCCTCTGGTGGGGCTGCCTTGACCCAGGAGATGAGCCCTGGGCTCTTTAGGGCCTTCTAGGGAAGACAGGTAGGACAGGGAAGTGACTCGGGGTGGGGTGTGGGTCTGCATGCCAGCGGGTCACCTTTTGGTCCCAGGGCAGTAGGAATAGCATGTGAGAAGGGCACGGACAGCCCAGCTGAGGTCCCTTTGGAGGAGCCCCCCAGGTGGCCACGGGCCCCGCAGCCTGCCCGGGACTGCCACCACAGGGTTACTAGTTAGCACCTATATGGCGCTCCTGCTGCTGCGCTAAGGACTTGACACTGCTCTTACTGATTCTCACCAGCCGATTCTGGCCCACACATGTGTTTAGTTTGGCCCTCTCAAAGTGTTCTAAAAATTCTGACTCAGTTGCCAACGCCATTTAAATTCAGAAGATTTATGTAGAAATCCAGATCCAGTGGTGTCCTCTGGGAGGCATGTCTTTCCCAGGATCCCTGGCCTAGTGAGGGTGGGGCTGGGATTTGAATCCAGCACCCCTACATCCAGTTACTGCTCTAATGCTACTGGACACCCTGGCTGAGAAGTGCCCTCTTTGCTGAAAATGAAGAGGAATGGAATTTGTGTACAGGATTGCAGGAGGAAAAGGGTGGGTTGTATTTATACCATCCCTCGGACTCCACCAATGACAGGGCTGGGCTGGGCTGGATGTCAGCGTGAGTCAGAGTTCTGTCAAAGTTTGTCACCCTTTTGATATTCAGACCCTGGAGGAAAGTGAGAGTGCCCGCCTTGAGTCCTGGGCTGCTGGGAGTCCTGGGCTGCGTGCAGTCTGCTGCGTGGAAGCAGGGACACCTGAAGGTCAAGGGCATGGTCTCTTGAGTCACATACAAGCATGGTCATCTTTTTATTATTATTATTATTATGATTATTGCTGTGGGGTGCATGTGCTCACGGGGAGGGGGGAGCAGTTAAAATGAGATAGTACCTCCCCCAGGGGGGATGGCACAGTCCCCTCTCCTCTATTCTCCTCTCAGGATTTTGGGCATACATGCACACACACCCAGTGTGTTTTTCAAGCCACCAGGTCCAGGACTCAAACTGTGGATTCAGCCATGTGGAATCCAGCTACCTTAAGCACTACCCCACCGGCTGAA